CCCCAAAACCCCAAAACCCCAAAACCCCAAAACCCCTTAATATTGATTAAAAATTGAAAAAATTATCCAATTTTCCCTTACTCATCGGCATGTTCGTGGTTATCTTTACAAAATTTGCATGCTCTTCACTTTTTCCCGTTGATTATGATGAGATATTTACTGCAGCTACCTCAGAAAATCTTGCCTCAGACTCTTCAGTGGTGTTTTCGAGAGAAAAACCAGAAATCTGAGCCACAGAGCATTCAGGAAGAAGCTTTGCTATCATCCATCCATACTGAGAACATTACGTCTATTTCTCTTCTTGATGATGGGTATTCAGAGTTAAGATGGCTATGACTTCTATTCTGGTACAGATACCGAGACTGCCTTGATCCTAAATCAAAGTTATTTCTCGCCTAAAATATTGCCTACAATTTAATGCACTTCCGTTGAAGCTTCCAGCAAGCTTCTTAAGCTCATCTCGAGGCTGTCCTTTCTCATTCGGGTCAGATTTGTGAATAAATAATATTTGACCATCTTGGTGATGAGAAGACGGAATTAAAAGACTTCCGCCTTTTTGACATCTAAATTCGGATTAGGGTCAGAAAAGAAAACTTTTAAATATAAGTAAGTAAGCAATGGGGGAATTTATCAAGATCGAGACTTACCTTTCAGGGATCTGGAGAATATTTCTATCTTGCTGCATCTTTGAAGGTGCATTTGAGGTTTCTTCTTGCGTATCCATTCCTTCATGACCATCCTTCTCATCCTCATCTTCTGTTAAGAACTTTTCAGATATTTTCTCTATTTGTGATCCTTTGAACTCTGAAGTAAGTTCAAATTTGGATATATTTGATTTCTCTCCTTTTGTTTTCTGATTAGATTTGACTAGTTCATCCATCTTCCTTGAGAGAGCAGAATAGCCAGGCCCTGGGCTACTTACATCTTTAGCTGAGGAAAATATTTTGCTACTTTTGCTGTTTAAGTTCTTTTTCAAGGATTGACTATAACAAGACTTTTGTACGTAAGTTAATTCCCCAAATGATGAGCTACGGTTTCTGCTTCTTTTTGGAAACAAGGGTATTTCGCTAGCTCTCAATGCAGCAATGTCATCCTCGTTATCTGCATCATCATTTTTGCTCTTTATATCTTTATTAGAGAGTCGATTCTTTTCGTTTCAGCTAAAAATAGTTTTTGCATTTCCTCATTGATTTTAATCTGTTGACTTAGTTTCTCTTTTAATAGCTTGTTTTCCAATTCAAGTTTTGATAACTTTAGTTCATATTTATTGGTGATATCTTCTATATACTTTTTCATTCCCAACGATTTCTCATCTGTGAAACATACAGCCTTATTGAGGGAGTCCTTGCTTTTTCTTGGTGCAGCTTGCTTAGTTGGAGCAATATCTTTCTTGAGAGTATTCGTCACACCAATCAACTTGCTTTCAGACAAGGATTTCTTGTGATACCATCGACGAGAGTGACTTGGCCCTTCTTTATGTTTATTGGATGTGGCATCAACTTCATGATGAACGAGGCATTTTTGAGATCTTTCTTTAGCAAGCCCTTTAACTTTATTTCTGATTAATAGTAGGCACTGGTGGCTTTCTTATATGCTTTATGCCTGATGTGCTTCATTTTCATTCTCTTTGAAATTCCATTCTTAACTTTTATAAAAAATTACATAATCTTTCAATTATGGAAACACAATTAGGGGTTTTGGGGTTTTGGGGTTTTGGGGTTTTGGGGTTTTGGGGTTTTGGGG